TAGATTGGAAGTGAAGTTATTGCGTTTTAAGTGTCAGTTTGTTTGTGTAAGAAAAACTTTTGCCAAAAAAATAAAAAAAAATCGCRCATGAAGAAGTCTAAAGTGAAGACAATTCTGATTTGCTACCCAGCGCGCTACGACAATGTCAAGATTACCTTCGTATTACATTTCATAYGATGCCCTGCCACGCTTTTTCAAATTTAACTCGGACTTTAGTTCGCACTTGCCCATTCGACTTTCTTTTAGAGCCACAAGAAGGCTTACTGAAGTGATCTAATTATAAAAATACAGTCTGTAATTTTTAAATTTTGGTACTGTGGATGCCAAGTCCCCCATGAAATGCCAAGGCCATATGAAGGGCAAGTTTCTTCACCAACGTAAAGCTCAAAGTCATAAATAACTCCTGATGAGCCTGCGCGTCTGAACATTTGTATTGCCTCATTTGTGGGGCTTAGCGGGATTGTACTGCTTGAGGGATGATCTTCCTAAGATAAGGGATTAACCTGATAATTGAAACTATTTATTTATTGAAATTGGACAACTCTGAACTTACCTTTAAACGCTATTACCTGCTAATCAATGTTTTAATTTTAATTAATTTTAATGCGTTATCTGTGCAAAGTTTTGTTCAGATATCCTTATTAGGTCTTGTTTTGTATAATTTGTTGTATGGGAAGCAGTTGAAGTTGTAGTTGGATATAACCCATATTAAATTATGATATAAGAATGTCATAATAATATAATGGACGAAATTTTTTTCAAATTGATCGATCCTTTTATTACTTTTCACTTTTTTAACTAAAGATGTCTTGCTTCATTCTTCATTTTGGTACCTAATGTATGGGACTTATAATTTTTATAGTTTTTCGCTTAGCGACATTTTATGGGCGTGGTATTGATACGATTTTTTCCATAAGAAATATAAATTGGCTCTCAACAATTAACACAAGTTGTAGCTTGCACTGACGGATGGATATATAGTATATAGGATATATATAAATATAATATATATATATATAATATTTGAAATCAACAWCATTATTATGATATCTGTGTTTCTATGCGAATATATGCGCAAATGTTTGGCTTTACAATGGTGATATTTTTACGCCCGATGTGAAAAATCCAGCCTAAAAGTGATCCCGCTTAGAAATAATGGTATAAAAGCGGAAATTCTCTGAAATCTTTGGCTTGTGGTATGTATCCAGTTGCAAAGCATCAAATTTCCCGCTTGCTTGTATTTCGTAGTGGCCAAGTATGAGTCTCAAGGTCAGATTATTCGATGTAAGGARAAACTGGTTCTCATAAGAACGAAGCTGAGCTAGCTGAGATAAATTGTTTATATTAGTTCAAATGGATATATTATATGTATGTACATATATGTACATATATTAAAAAAATGTACATATATTACTGTGGCTTGCTTTTTCAAAAGGTTAACGTTTAATAATTAAAAAACAAAAATTCTCAAAAATCTATGCAATTAATTCCTTTTAAGGTTTTTGACCAAATTACATATGGGTTTTCAGTATTCTTTTGTTTAAYTATTATATAAGTAGCCTTCAAGTTTTTTTTTTTTTTTCAGAAAATTCTTTAACTACGTAGAGTCATAAAAATATATATGTGGTGGCATATACATATATATTATATGTATATATCTTTTATTAAAAGGTGTGGGTAAAGTCATGCACATTAAACTTATATACATATGTATATGCATACTCATGCTTTTGTAGGTAAAACGGAATCTTATCAAAGCAAAAAGCTAGTAGACAATAACAAAGTTTGTTGGCGTGAATATAGTATATCGCCAATCTTTAGATATAGATGGAGCCCTTTGATTCAATAAGCTTATAAAGCAGACACATGACTCAAATGTGGATACGCTCATTATAAACCTCCTCTCCTATGATAAGAGATTCAGTTGTTTTATCTATAAAGCGCATGCGCTACTATAGTATATGTTGAGTGATAATCTATAGGTTATCTTATAATGTTTTGAATTAATTTCAAAATTATTCGATTTCGGTTATTATTATTGTTTGTGCAATTATTATTGAAATATAAATATTAATGTTTTGAAATGTATTGCTGAACTTTTGATAAATATTGTAAGGCTATATCTTGCTGTGTTTGAAAACGGAAATCAAATTTCCAAAGTTAAATTTCGTTTTGAGTTCAAACTGTTTTAAATCTTGCATAACGAGGTAGAGTCAGAAACGGTGTAAGAGCACAGTTCACTGCTCTTTGTAATAGAGAGAATTCAATGTCATGGCAACGCTTTCTTAGGCCAGCGAAAATATTCAAATTGAGCGTTTCAAGTGGGGAGAATGCATAATCGACACAAATACACTTCAGAATCTATGTACGTGGTCATATACGTATAGAAAATACGTGTGATGTGTAGGGAAAATGCGTCTGAATATATAATATACGTATAGGGTCGACACTGTTGAAGAAAGTACTTTACTTGTAGAGGGTGGATATGCTAGTTTTAGTAAAATTTTCAGAAAAGTTTTCAATTGTTAAAGTCATGTATTACATGTGCTTTGGATAGATTTTTTTTAATCAATCAATCTACTTAAAAGTTTCCATAAAAGAGTGTTAGACAATTGTAGAGAAATAATTTGCATTGCAATGGTGTGAATAATTGTATTTGTGAGAAAATCAAATCTCCAAAGCACACGTGTACTCATACAATGTGAATAGAATACCTATGCTCTATGTGTGGGTGAGAGAACATCCTGTCTTGCGCTCAGAAATGTGTGTTTGACTATGTTCACATATTGCAACACGCACTGTTTGAATATTACGTATACATATACGAGCGGCACATATGCAATACGTGTGGTTTATTGGGAGCTCGCTCACGCTAGTGGAAGAATTGCTTGACTAGCGTTTGCCTTTGTTCGCACACCGAGTGCACCGGAGTGTTATATCTTAACGACAAAGCTGGCGCTGTTTTAAGGTATGCTCGCTAGTGGTGGCCTTGCGCATAGTGTATTGAGGCGCGAGCATTTAGAAGTGGTGCGGCGCTGCGCGGAGGAATGTCGCAGGCTAATAGTCATTTCGATTCAATTGTGTGTTGCGTGTGTTGACAAAAGAATCTCTGTTTTCAGTGTAGATTTGTACTCCGCATAGCACAGTACGAAAGATACGCTTGAAGCGGTACTTGTAACGTGTAGTATAGCACAATAATAGCAGCGTCGAAACCAATTGATACGTCGGAGATTTATCAATTAGATAAAAAAGTGTAAATTTTTCAATTGAAATCGACATTGCGTTGTATTATCTTAAAAGAGGGGAAACAGTTGGAATGATTGCGATCATTCACCAAAACTATTGAATTTCAAATAAAAAATGTGGTGTTAATAWAGTCGGTATTTTTGGTGAATAAAAAACATACCCAGTTCATAGAATTACCTAAATTTACAAAATATTTAAGCGTATAAAGTTAACGAATTTATTTATAAACATTGAACTAAACAAGTCGCTTTTTTCTTTCAACAATGTTACTTTGCCACCCAAATTGAAATCCACCTGCTCCATCTATACATATGTATATCTGTGCCGCAACAAATTGAAAATCATATGCATTCTCTATTAAATGAAACAATAACATCAACGGAAACCGCTCAACCTTCTGCAATCGGAGATCTGCGAAAATTTACAAAACTAAAAAACAATATAAATTTGTGATTGTTTTGATCATTAAATGAATTTTATTATCGGCACCGGTTACAAAAATAACTTATACGGCGGTCATAAATACTTCGACATATGTTCTACCAATACAACTAATATACCACAAATAAAAATAAATAAATTTGGAAACAAACAATAATAAAAATAAAAAAAACTTTGAATTGCTTGTGTAATTTGTTTCTCATGAATGGACTACTTCTTAATTGGAAACCATAAACTTACGCGTCGCGCTTGTTCATTTGTCATTTTATGGGCACTGGAATACCCCCAATAAAAATATTTGTTATACTCCGAAATAAAAACAACATCATCGACGTATGTGACAACTCACTGAAATCGATCATAAAATGACGTCAAATCTTAAATCACCGTTAACTATTTTTCAAATAAATGGCTTAAATCCAAATTAAATTAAATTATTAAATGAATTTGAAATACAAAAATTTTTTGACTTACCAAAATATAATAAAAATAATTAAAATTATGGAAACAATAATGTGAACATGCAATACATCAAAAAAATTTTAAAAATATTTAAAATGYTTGTACTAACCTTAACAATCACATTCTAACCCATGAGTCCTGCTGTAAACATTTACTCTTGCTTCACGTTCACCAACAAAAAATATTGCACACTCATATTCCTGGTGAATTATTGCACCACCGTCGCTAACGTGTTCTCTTTATAATTCTCTTCATTCACGTCAAATATTTACTCTCTGATTTAACGCATAACCACTCATCTGCATATATTATGTGTATTATTCTCTTTGACAACGATTGCCGGGTTGTGATATAACTTTTTTTTTATAAAATCACACAACCGATTAATGTAATTGATCTCGTAATTATTTATTGAATGTTAATACATTTTAATACATAAACTCCACGCTTGGAAAACTCGCGTTCGCGTTGTATAATTGTATCTGTTGTACCGCTAAAATACTCGTTACTGCTTTATTCGAATCGCGCTCAAAATAACCGTAAATATTCCACCACTCCCCCAAACCCCAACCATCCCGCTGGCGTGTGCTCTCTACGACCCCCACGATGTCTCGGCAGTCGGGTCGCACGCCGCTGCCGGGACTTGGTGGGGGCCACATCATCATGCTCCACATCCAACCGCTACTGCTTCGTCCACCGTCTCCGCTGTTTCGGTTATCAATCAACAACCCGCCGCAAATATTATCAATCCATTGCACCACCACCCGCATCACCACCACCATCCGCATCTGCAACATCACCATCACCATCTTCAACACACTGTGCCGACTGTGTCGGCAAATTCAACCTCACTCATACCGACGGCGGCTGTGCTTCCACAACAACAACAACAAACAACACCAACGTCACATTCCACGCCTACTAATGCGGTTATGTATGAAGAACCCTCTCCAGTGCCAATTGCTTCTGTGCAACAGCAACAACAACAGCAACATCTCCTGCCCACTCAACAGCATCAACAGCAGCTCGCAGCTACACCAGTTGGTGGTGCCCACAGTCCTTCCCAAACACCTTCAGGTGCCCAACCTCAAACACAGCAACATCTCACCTCTCCACACCACCAACAGCAACAACAACAACAACAGCAGCAAGCGAATAGTGTGCCTCCTGGTGCGTCTGCGAACCTCCAGCAACAACAACAACAACAACAACAAAACTCAGCAGTGGCGTCCGCCCAAACGCAGATTGTTGCGCCGTCAACGGCGAGTGTTTCCCCCTCCAGTGTTAGTTCCCAACCCCCAGGTAAGTAAATAAAAAAGCTTAGTTTAATTTAATGAGTTACACCCCTTTTCTAATTTCGTAAATTAATAATTTGTACAAAATTCTAATGATTGAAAAGTTTGCAGAATTCAGAATTCGAGACAACTATTTTATATTAGTTACACTTTTTCAACAGATTATCATAAAATTAATAATAAACATACAACAGTATAAAAAAATATTATATTTGATTAAATTTATTCAAGGTATAAAAATATTTTTTTATTGTTCGTTTGAAATATTATCACATTGAATAGTTTAACTACTCAAAAAATGAATTAAAACACATTACACTTGTTAAAATTCGAGATTATTTCATTCTTCTAATATTTCTCAGTCTTTCAGAATTATTGACAAAAAATAAACATGAAATATAATTCCGTCAGTTTTTTCTCTAAAGTTATTTGGCATTATCATTTTTTATTGGCATTTATATTTTTCAATCCAAATGTAAAGCTATTACCAATCTTTTTAATTAGTTGACTGTAAATTGACCAATCTCATTTAAAAAGATTATTTATATAATATTTGGAATATATTTTTCTGAAACGATTATATACAATTTTATATAAAGATTTATTCAAAATTTTATTTAAGCAATTATCTGAGTACATGTGAATTAATTTTTTGTCAATTTCTTAATTTCAGACATGTCATTGTTAGCACCTCTGCACATACCCGCGATCCGACCTGGTTTTGAAGCTGACGCGACGGCAGCAGTTAAAAGACATCCTCATCCTTGGGCTTACGATGGTGATGGCTTCAGTTCACAATATCACGCATCACAATACTTTCTAGATCGAGACCGAAAGCCGGTTTTTTATGGTTACCCCGAGACGCAATATCAGGTTAAATAATGGTTAAATAATATTTTATATAAATGTTTTATTAGCAGCAAGGACCTAAGAAGGAATTTGTTTAATCTTTCGATTATACTTTTTATACGATTGTAGCCGTATTGGAATTATCGGGAACAACCTACACCCGCTGCAGCGGCCTACATGAGCGCTAGTGATGAACGGCATGCTGTCGCAGCTGCTGCCCGCCAATCCGTCGAGGGCACTTCGCAGTCTAGTTATGAAACGCCAACGTATTCTTCGCCAAGCGGGCTGCGTGGGTACCCAAGTGAAGCTTATTCAAGTTCAGGTAAAATATTATAAAACTTGGTTTTTTATTCATATTAAATTTTTCATAAAGCTAATGACTTACATATACAATGTATTTTTACATATAATTGAAAATTATACGGCTAGTACAAAATCTTTATAATCGGAGGTAGGAATCGTTTATTCTCTTACCGAACAGTTAATATAGTTTCAATATTTTACCATATTACAGATTAACCGAAATTATTAGAATTCAAATTCACTATATAAATATAACAWTTTGAAGTCCATTCGCACGATTACTATTGTAAATAAACCCGTAGCAACTTTTACACTTAGATCGTACATGTTAATCAATCATTCTCACTGTGATGATTTTTAAAATGAATAAACATATATATTATATAAAATACTTCAATTATGAAAATGTATTATGTGTATGTATGTTTTTTATTCATGATCATTATGATTTCATTTTAAGGTGGTACAGCTGGAATTTCTGTTGGTACGGTTGGGCCTTGTACTCCCACCAATGCCCTACATGAATGGACTGGACAAGCTTCGGTGCGGAAAAAGCGTAAGCCCTACTCCAAATTTCAAACTCTTGAATTGGAGAAGGAGTTCCTTTACAACGCTTACGTCTCCAAACAAAAACGTTGGGAGCTAGCAAGAAACTTAAATCTTACTGAACGGCAGGTAAGCGCTGCAATTATAATTTAATTACCAATATTACCTTATTTTCTTTATTTTCGTTTTTCAGGTAAAAATTTGGTTTCAAAATCGTCGTATGAAAAATAAAAAGAATTCACAACGTCAAGCCTCCCAACAGAATAACAATAACAGCGCCAATAGTAATCATAACCATGCGCAAGCGACGCAACAGCATCACAATACTCATCATATGAATTTGGGTTTGAGCATGGGGCATCATACGGCTAAAATGCATCAGTGACCTTTGGACAACAGCAGTGCCAGCGCCATGGGCTTCCCCACCTACTAGCATTTGGTGAACATAAAAACCGAAATGCAGCCAGAATTTCTGTAAATGACAATTTCAACCTACATATTCATATACATCAAAATATTGCCGTAAATATATAACTTCAATATATTAGTAGAAAGTTGCTTACTATCTACACATTTATACTTATAGATAATTAAAGTTCAGAAATCTTATTATGGATCAACAGTAATCAAAGAATTACCTGTTTAAACCTTAATTGCAAAGAAATKATTGTAATTAAAGATCTTATTTGTGTTCATATTATTTTATATTTTTCTATTTAACATTACGCAATGTTGGCTTAAATTTCTGTGTATTCAAACCTTTTTCCCAGTGTAATTTCTGATAAGGGAGTGTTGCAATCCATTGTTTATTATTTGAAGTTTTAAATAACTTTTGCTTRGTTTAAACAGAATAAATTTCATTATTTTGATCACTAAGATGTTTTTACGTTCAAGTACAAGATATTAGAGATAGTAAGAATACAATATTGGTAAATAATGGTAAGCAAGCCCAGTAATTTGAATAATTTACAATATCATAAGCAATAAATTGTTTGCAGGTTGTTAGGCTGATGTTCACTTATTGCATGCAAATATTAAAGTATGCAATTTATAAAGACATKATAGAGGCACTGCTACAGTCAAAGTAACGTTTGAGGTAGACTATAAATACTAATAAATATCTTAAATATATTTAACTTAAACTACATTTAAAATAATAATTAAGTAATTTATATGTAATGTGGAAGTGTAGTGGAATAGTTGGCTCTTAAAAAGGATGTATAAAAGATTTGTCAAATTCTCATAAAAACCTATTTAATATATGTATCTTAACAAATATATGATTAAACAACAATTAAATTTTAAGAGTATAAAAAAGGATTAAACTTATTAGTGAAAGCACGTATTGAGAAAAATCATTTAATATTTATGAGAGTCAAAAATTACAATGTTAAACAAAAATAAGCATTATCTAAGTGTGTTATCTCGTAAAGTTACAATATAATGCGCACATAAACACTCACGTAATATTTGCACATATGCAAAGGGACACTTCTATAATAATGACTGCATACGATTGTAGTCATCCATGTAGGCAAACATACGTACATACATGTATAACTCATTAATCCACTATATTATATAACGTAAATGAGAAATAGAATAAAAATATTTCATTATCAAAACAGCTTGTACTTCTAAATGTATTTGCAATGAACGTGTCATATATTGTCGCTGTGCAACTACTTGGTGTAATTTGTATTTGTCGTCTTTGTATTGTATTTTAATTAATTATTGTAAATACATAAATTTTGAATATATGCATATTAACAATATTGGAAATCCAAAAATTGAAACAAAAATAGTACCAATTAATTTTCATTTACTCTAAATAAAATGCAGGAAAAATGTGACTACTGAAAAGTTTGCTTATAATTTAGATAATGAAAGCAATTTGCACACCTTCAGAGTAGAAGCGAATTTTTAGGGGAAGATTTTCTATCTTTAAATATTTGACATTAAAAATATGGTAAACTAATCACTGAACTGGAACAATTATTCACTTTTGGATCTCGCATAGTCAATCATATCTAAAGAGCTCCATTTCCATAATATTTGCTAATTGGATTATTTTGATGAATAGTAAATTATTTGTACCACTTCTTTCGTTGGCATAATATGGATTTGCAAATATTTGAAGCTAAAAAAGAAATACAAGCTTGAAGACGACGCGAATATTTTATGTAATTCCAGAAAAAGTTAAGAAGACTAAAGTAATATAAAATTAGTATATTGTAAGATGTATGTGTGTTTGTCTATTAGAAATTAAARAAAAATCATATCTAGTGATTTATAACTAGCTATGTTAACTACATAAAGTTTGCAAGCAAAATATTTATACAAGTATTATATGTACAGATATATAATAATTATACATATTTCAGGCAACTTTATAAAGATACAAACAATTATTCATCGTTGATCGGCAATATTACTTGCATAGATCTAAATTCAATTAAATTCGGTTTTTGTTACTGTTGTTGGCTTTTACTTAATTAGTTGCAAATTGTTCATATAATTGGAAAAAGTATCTTGCTATAGAGTGATTAATATACATTCATATGTAGCACAACATATATCGTATATACCAAAAGCTAATATACTTATTAATAATGCATCTAAATTTTTGTATTTCTTCATGTTTAAGTTAGACATTTATATGATTCATTTTATGTTAATATTTATGTTATTCAGCGTATTAAATTGCAACATGTGTAGTTTTTTATAGCGAATTTAGTAGTTACATGGGTTCAGTTGCGTCTCTATGATACACGATATACTGTACTACATTTTTTCTAAGACAAAGTTATTGTGAAAAATCATGATAAAATAGTAATAAATAACAGTGATTTAATTAAAAAATTGGCTATCCTTTATTATTTCACTTATAAACGTTAGTAGTAGTGTTTTATTTCCAAAGAACTAATTTTGAAAATAATATTGTAATTAAGTTTTCTTCATTTTGCTATATTTTTATTTAGTTTGTCTTCAACCAACAGGTTAAAAACTACACACGAAAGCAACGGTTTGCGTAAAAAAACTTTTTTGGTAAGTAACAATGTCAAAATATCTTCAAAAATAAACTGAAATATAATTTATAAATTGAAAAATGGTCTACTCAATCAAAAGCCACTATGTTATGTAGTTATAAATGCAATGCAACCTCTCGTTATCGAATTTATGCACGTACATATAAAATATAATACACTTGTACAAAAGCAAATTAAATTATAATCCAGCATTTCAACAGCATTGGTGCAAAATGTAATAAAATTAAATAAGTAATAGGCATTAACCAGCGGTTATATGACAGTTACATAAAACTTACATTCAAAACATATATTGAATGTAGCAATGTGCAATAGTACATTGTGCAGAGGATCTAGAAAACGAAGTAACTGCATACATCACAATATAAGGCAAGTTTAGAATAATATACGTATAAAAAATAACATAGAARTTTATCTAAATAAATTTAAAAATTACTGTTGCAATTCAAATATATTTATATCAAGTTTACTGACGAATAATGGTGTATTATATTTCCTTAATTTGTATTTTGACTCAATGGCATTAATATTTAGATTTAATAAAAWATTAACTGTATTTTTTTTAGTTACTAGTTGCCTTACAAATACATTTTTTTTTTTGGTGTTAATTTTCCGAAGTCTATGGTGAAATCCTGTTTGGGCATTTAAACGAGATGACCTCTCCATTTCTCTGCGATTACTAGCTAGTAGAGCTTTGAGTACTTTAAGGGTTGAAGAATTTGACTTTAAAAACTTTAGATTTTATGCGTAGTCAGAGACTTTTAGTTTTCTAATTTAACAATTTTAATATAGATGTAATAATGTCTAAAGATATTTACTGGTATGATTTGAAATCCAGTTTCACTTGCAGTGTTAAAGTGCATAATGCGTGCTTGTTGGATGCAACAAGATATGGACCGAACCTCAGGCAATCGCAAGCTTTGTGCTGGTCGCTAACTCTGTAATTAAAATATTATATATACTACTCAAAATAATTGAATCAAACGTTTGGAAGTGAATTAACCCAATCTGAATTGTACACTATGTATAAGATGTTTCCGGTTATGCGATTTTAAACTTAGCGTGCTTGAATAAAATTAGTATTGCTACTTCCCCAACATGTATCTTTGGATGAGGTCTGGTTCTAATGGGAGATGCAACCTCTTCTTATTAGAATACAAAATCGCATACCCTAATTTATTGACAAAGCTAAATCTTCCACCCATTGTATTAATTTAAATAATCATAAATGAATTCCTTTCCAGATGATCTATAAAAACTAGAAGCTCTCACACCTTTCACAAATACAAAAAATTCTTGACAAGAACTTTGATCATTCGGTTTATGTAGTAGCTATATGTACGCTATAGCGAGTCGATTTTTTGGGCGGAAATTGCATCATTTCCGCAAACAAAAACCTATGTAAAATTCTGCGAAGATATTTCCGATCATTCCTTTTGGTAGCTTTATGCTATGGAGATTCGATCAGATTAATTTCTTCGGAGATTTTATCATTGCTATAGGCAATCATTTATGTAAAATTTTTTAAAGATATATCCTCAAATGAAAAAGTTTCCACACAAGAACTTGATTCCGATGATTCAATTTGTATGACAGCTATATGCTATAGTGATCTGATATCGGTCGATCCGAAGTATGAGCAGCTTGTTGATGCGAAAAGGACGGGGGAACGTGACCTTTAGAACGTTACATCATGTAAAATATAATATAGTATACCCTGTTCACGGTATAATTAAATTTGTTTATTGTGGTACTACTTACATATACTACATATACGAGTAATAATGAAACAAATTGATCTCTGAATGTTGTTTATCCGTTTATTCAAGTCAAGTGGTCAAGAGGTTTAAAATTAAATGCAACAAGTAATCACTGCGTGGAAGGTTGAAAATATTTATTTTATTTTGGAAAACATTAACAAAAAAATTAATACATAATTTTTTAAAAATATTTACTATAGGTATGTCTCCAATTTATATAACATTTATATTTCTCATATTATATATATATTTTTACTTTTGAGTTTGGTACATAGGATAATAATAACCAAAAGTGTCAAAATCATTTAATCTAACCGTAGAGACAACAAAACAAAAAAACAACAAAAAAAAAACGTTAACTTCGGCTGCACCGAACCCTTCACAGGTGCACTTCCTTTAGTAACTATGTGTTCAGTTTATATGTTTATATGGAAGGTCTATATGTCTATAGTAAATCGATCTRAACAATTTTTTCGGAGTAATCCMTGTCAAATTTCGTGAAGATACCACCTGTCAAGTTTGGTGCCTTAGAGAATAATCTATACCAAATTGCGTGAATATATCTTGTCAAATGTGACATTTTTCCATACATGAACTTGATTCCGATCGTTTGTATGTTAAAGTGGTCCTATACTAAGAACTTCAACGAAGAGAAGAAGATTTAAAATTGGATTTTTGACAGACATTAATAAAAAAAAAAAAATTAAATTTCAGTGAAAATTTCACTACATTTTTTTGTAATCGAAGAATAAACTTTCGTCCAAGTCTTTAAGAATTGTATCTCACCTGCGTAAAATTTCATGAAGATCGGTATTTCTCATTGTTAATGTTTCAATAATTCACYGCTTTTTCATATTTTCATTTCCATTTGATTCTTTTACTTTCCGGTACATAAATCAAGAAGCAATTAATATAACGAGATAAAACTTTGCTCGAATAATGTATTTACTGTAATCCRTCGCATGAAAAAAAATTGTTYAAATTCAATAAAAACTGTTCTAGCCACTAGGTACCGAATATGTGAACCCCAGTATCTATAGTTGACTTTTGATGGAAAATATCGATCAATGAACCTTATACCCATTTATCGGCCAATGTTTGAGTTATCTCAATAAATAGAGAACGTGTTTTACTCATAACAGAGTATCTTTGTGTTTAAATTAGATAAATTTGAGCGAAAACTTGACCTAGTATAGTAGTTTTTTTAGTATATGGCATGTTAATAGTATGTGGTATTGGTAAAAATGGGTAAAATCGGGTCGATACTACCTCTACTTCCATATATTACATATAGTGATTTTCGTTTTTCTAACAAACCATCTGTGTATGTCAGGGTATGAGTTATATGTAGTATATGTATGTATATATAAAACTGTTTAGATTTCGATCTGTTGTTTGACATTTAACAGTTTAAGGTATTTCCCCTTTGACCTTTGCAAGTTGTAAGAGTATAAAATGCTCGGTTGCAACCGAACTTATGCTTCCTTACTTGTTAAAATGGATGAAATATTTTTATGAATTATCAAATCTCATATTACATATAATGAATTTCGTTATTCTAGTAAAATGATAAAAATAATAGTTTTGTTTGAACATTTTTTGATAAGTACAAGAAGTCGAGAAAAAAACTTATCTTGCAATAAATAAACGCGTGGTATAGAAAACAGATGGAATCAATATTTCACTGCTTCGACGTGTATAGGTAAGACAAGACACCAATGCAAAAAAACGCAGGGCTGAGTTCGGGTGTAACCGATTACTTTTCAACCTTAAGGTGCAAATCATCAACCATATATGTATGTATATATACTCATAGACTGACMGCTAAAGTTGGCTTAAGGTAAGRATTATATTACTGCAAATAAATGTATATCATCATATATAGCAAAGTCAAGCGGGAATACGAAAATCCTRATATTGGTTGTATGTGGGCTAGGTCCAGTTTTCGCCTAATTTTACACTGTTATAAGTAAAACACGCTCTCTCAATTTTAGTAAGATAAYTAACATGTTGGCCGATATACATGTATGCGGTATAAAGTCACCCAGAACTTCAAAGATATTTGTAAATGTGTACTAGGTATGTGGGGGATAAAAAGAAGTATTGATCCGATTAAACCCAGTTTGGCACATTGACATACTTATATCAGGAAAGAATTTTCTGTAAATTTCAATTATACTATATACATATATCATATATTGAACGATGTTTTCGACATTGAAATGTCAAAATAATTGCGGCTACTGAATTTCATTGAAATCGGTAGAGAAAGTCCCGAGGTGTATTTCTACTGCAATATTCTGTACCAATATCTTAAAATAGTTATAAGCGTTTTCGGTTAATGGCGTTTTGAGGACGTGGGCCRCTAGATTACGCCCATCTAAGAACT